TTTATAGATAACTTATAAAATAAATCCCTTCCTAACACACTGATAGGTAAGTTATTTTAAAGAGAAAGGTAGGGGCCCTTGGGTGGCTTGGTCGGTTAAGCGTCTGACTCTTCATTTTGGCTCAGATCATGATCTTGTGGTTCATGAGTTCAAGCCCTGAATCGGGCTCCATGCTGACAGTGCAGAGTCTGCTTGGGATTCTCTCTCTATGCCTCTCTGCCCCTCCCCCACTTATGCTATCTCTCTCTCTCTCTCACTCTCAATAAATAAATAAATAAGTAAACAAACTTAAAAAAAGAGCAAGCTAAATAGCAGAGACAGCATACTTTTAAGTGGAAACTCTGCCCTGGAAAATGTGCAGAGTAGCAAAAAAAATTGTCTAAGGGAGTTGAGAGGGTCTGTTTTTGCAACTGCCTGTGAATGGACTAAGCAGCCCAACCAAAATTTACTTTCTGGGTTTGTTCCTGTGTTTTCTTGTCACAAGAGCAAACTCTTGCTCCATAATAACATTCCAGAGTACAATAGCAAAAGTCAACATTTTGAAGAGAATGTCTGGTCCTTTACAGACTCTAATAATTTTTTTTTTGTTTGATATGTCACAAACCAAAATTTTTTCTTGTAAATACATATGATTGACTAACTCAACTGCATAAGCCTGGCAAATTCTTTTGTTGTAAAGTTCTTCATATCCACAAACTATTGATGCTTTTATTTATTTTTTATGCCAAGTTGGAATAAAAATAATTAGAAACATTTAGATTCTAGAAAATCTTAATTTACCTTAGTTTGGACAGAGATAAGCTAAAATTTATATTCATTTTTAATATACTGAAGAATAATTTGTGACATATATGCAAATAATATATTTGGAATATATACATACATATTAACGTATTTACATTAACATATAAAGAGTTCTGCTAAATCAACAATTACTGTTTCAGTCTTTTTATTTTTTCCCCACAGCTCTTCAAACAATAATTTATTACTTATTATATTTTTCCATATCTGGACCATGAGTTTCTTCTTCAAGGCAGGGCCTAGTGTTATTCATCTTGAATCCCCACATCTGCCATAGTACCTGGAATTTAATAAACCCTCATTAAAAGTCTATTACAGAATGCATGACTGAGCAGTCATTTACATTCACATAATCAGTAGGCTAACTTAAGCCATTCTTAACCATCACATAAAGTTGGTTACACATAGATATATAATAATAACTTTGTATCTTTTAAAAAACAATTATTAGTCTGTCTTGCTTCCCATTTTCTCCCCAAAACCTATGAAAATATCTGGCAGGAAATAGATAATTGATAAATTTGTTCAATGTTCACTTACTTCAAAACCTAAAGTTTTACTAAGTCATGTTGATCTTTCTCTAGTGAATATGATTTGAGATTTTTTTTTTTACTCTACTTGATAGTGAGTAAAACAGTGAGATAGGAATATTGCAAAATATACCCTAGCTTGGTCTGTCTGTCTTTTATTTTTTATAATTTTGTTCTCCAAATATTGACAGTGATAAATATTTAGGTACTTAATTATTTACTTAAGAAATAGTTTCTGTTGAGAGAAAACACATGCAAAATGTAATTTAGAAAGGTAGCTTGAAATTAGAGTATGATTGGGGTTGGTCTAGAGGAGAATACTGTACCACCAGATTTTTACCGAACTCTCAACTTCATTATTAGAGGTATGATATAAATTAATAGTATTGCAGTACTTCCTGCTAACTTACTTCCCAAGGCAACTTGCGAAGGAAACATCTTACAGATTTTGGTTTGTGACATCAAACTAATCTTGTCGTCATACCAGGATAGTGTTTACCTGACCAGGTCCATGTCCTTGGGATTTCCCAAGTTCTGACACTACTAATATTTAGCATGGATTAGGTACTTACCATGTACCATGTTCTGTAGCAACTTTTCCCACAAATTATCTCATTTAATCCTCAGTACAGTCCTTTGAAGTCTATCCTATTAATTTCCTCATTTTTTTCAAGTGAGGTAAATAAGACTTACAGTAACACATCTGATAGCATCAGCAAATGGGTGAAGTATAGGTTCAAAGCCACTTTTGTTTGACTTCAGAGCTCCAATCTTTAATCAGTGCTTTTATTTTTTTCTTTGAAGTATAATTGACATATAACACTGTATTAGTTTGAAGTGTACAATATGGTGACTTGAAAATTGTACACAATGTAAAACGATCACCTCACTAAGTCTTGTTAACATCCATGTAATCTGTGCTTTTCTTTGATGGTTAATTTCCCTTAAAATTAAAAAAAAATCCTTACCAGTGTTAAGAAACTTCTAATTTTAGAGGTGCCTGGATGGTTCAATCATTTAAGCATCCAACTCTTGATTTCGGCTCAGGTAATGATGTTACAGTTTGTGAGATCCAGCCTTGTGCCATCAGGCTCTGTACGGAGCATGGAGTGTGCTTAAGATTCTCAGCCTCTGCCTCCCTCTTCCCCTCTCCCACCTTCACATATACACTCTCTCCCTCTCTTAAAAAAAAAAAAAAAAAAAGACCAGAGTTTTTGGGGTCGGTTCAAACTAGGCTTGTATCTTATTTCAACCTCTTAAAAAAAAGGAAACTTAATTTTATACTTTTATTTTGAAAGGATTTTATAGTTGTCAAGATGAGAAAACAAAAGCACACAGACAGGGAAAGTGGCTAGTCTTTGACTGTACTGTGTACTGGCAGGACCAAATCAGCTCTCGTTCATTTATCATTTGTCATTCTTAAGTTTGGATTCATTTTTGCATTCATCAAAACTATGTTTGAGGTTGTCGAGGTTTTTTTGTTTGTTTCGTTTTTTTTGGCCAGCATCCTAGGAGCTCAGTACAGATTTGTTGAACAAATGAATGAATGTATAAAGGCTGACAGTGTGTCCAGCATAGGCACTGGAGACACATAGAGCGAAAGAGCATAGAGGCAGTGTAACAGGGGAAACTTCCACGAATGTTGCATATGGCTATGTGACTGACTACCGTACAGGATGATCTGGGATGTTCAGAAGGGTCTGTCAGGGTATAAAGGGAACTTTGAGCTATTTGGTGCCCCTGGAAGCAGGGTGGAGAAGACTCTAGTCTGGATGCCTGTTACGTCATGTGAGAGAGCTCACATTCATTCTGTCAGGAAGAGATTCCAAACAGAAATGAGATGGTCAAACCTGTATTTTAGAAGGATCCCTGGGGTGTTTTTGTGGTCAGTTGACAAACTGAACCACTTGGGATTTACAGTGTGAAGCTTAAGAGATAATGATGGCCACCACAATGGGGTTAGCAAGGAGAAGGATTTAAGAAATATTTGCAGTATATCTGGGCTAGTGATAAAGATTTGAAAAATCATTAGCTGCTCAGTGGTAGTTGATACCCTAAGAATAAATGAGTTCTGAGAAGGAGAGTTTTGAGGGTTGGGGGTGAGGAAGACTAATATTCAGGGGATAGGAAGAGGGAGAGCTGCCCACATATGATAATAAGTGGTCCCAGGGTATGTGGTTTCTCATAAGACAAGGGATAGATGTTAAAAAAAGAAAAAAATGTTGTATGTTGTGAGAGAGTGGAAGCAACAGACACACACTAATTTTTTGAGATTTCTACAAAGGGGTAGATATGGAATAAAGCTAAAGGAGAACCTGGAGACAAGTGATGTGAGAGATGTAGCAGTTCCCAGGCTGAATCCAAGTAAAAGCAAAAAGATGAGGACAGAAAGAAAGGACACAGGTCCACCCAGTGTCTTTATTAACATTCTCGGATCCCTGGAGCCAAAAGTAATTTTACATGTGAGTCTTCCAAGATACACCAGAGCATTCCCACTTGTCTAAATAATGTTTACATTCCCTACCATTTCAGAAACTCTTTTCAGTTTCTTACAAATTCTTACAAAGTGAGATTGATTTAATGAGAACCCAGTCAAGGAAAGAAATATCATCTGTAATACATATCATGGGCGTACAGTTAGTATTTGCCGATCAAATGTGGTAATATGGGCCATCTCTGAGTTCATCACCGAACTCAGGGATCTTTCCTAAAGCCATTATCCCATTCTGCCTCTATTACAATTAGTATTATGTCTTACTTCCCAACACTAAATCCCAGACTCCCCAAGTGTAGGGGGCAGTCATCATCCATGTATCTCTTTGGCCCTCAAACACTCAGCAATATTTGGCAAAAAATAAATGTTAATGCACATTATCTGAATAAGAGCCAAGATGCCAATCATTTTTGTCTTATTTTGAAAGGATTTATTTGTATATCTTGTTTGCATTTTCACTTTATTATTTCCAATGTAGCAGGAAAAAAATAAGCCACTGGCCCTAACACAACTCTCATATTCCACCTCAATATCTAAGCACCTTTAAATCTCCTAGTAATATACCGCTACTGTAAGTCTTCTTTTTACTTCATAGTTTCATCAATTTCTTAAAATCAGTTTTAATGAATTGAAGAAGCTACCCAGTTGATTATTTTCTGCTACCTTTCATGCGCTATTATGACAGAGTAGAGAATGGAAGGCATAATAAAAGAATCTGTCATGATAGAGCAAATGACTGTGTTTAATGCTATTATCTTTTTCTAGCATGTATTCAATTGTATTGTAATTATTTGTGTATGTCTTTATAAATCCTGAGCCTTGCAAAGGCCATGTGCCATGTATCATTTCTTCAACCCCTGTGGGGGGTACCTGGCTCATGATAAGCACTCACTGAAAATTTCCTAAATTAAGCACAGAGCTGAAACAAGTCATAGGCTTATCCTTTAGAGCTTCTAAGATTATATGTAGACTTTGGTTCAGTCAAACCCAAATAGGAGGAGTGGTGGGTTCTTGATATGAAATTTAAACCTTCAGACTGTCATGTGTCTTTTTAGATTCTCAACCTCTTGAGTGTCTTTAACCTTGTGGTATATAAATTATCCAGTGTTTTCCCTCTTTCTTTTCTGCAGGTTGGACTCAGATCTGTGATAGAGCAATTTCCTGGGAAGCTTGATTTTGTCCTAGTGGATGGGGGTTGTGTCCTAAGCCATGGCCACAGACAGTTGATGTGCTTGGCCAGATCTGTTCTCAGTAAGGCAAAAATCTTGCTGCTTGATGAACCTAGTGCTCATTTGGATCCAATGTGAGTTTCAGAATTCCAACTGTTTAATCTTTGAGGCCTGCTTCACACTGATACCAATTCCCATTAGGCTGTCATGTCTGCAAGTGGAGGACCCGCCTCTACTTATGAAATAACTACCCATGGAAAAGTCACTATTGGACATGAGCACAAGTGCTCATATCCTGGTATAAGAGCCCTGTGTTGTCTTCTGAGTGTAATTTTGGAATTTCATACAAACTCTTCCCCATGTCAACACATGATGAAATACTTAGTTCCATAGACATAATCTGATTATTATGATTTTCCTTTCCATGCCATTTATATGGTAAGATTTTTTTATAGCACAAAAGAACCACTAGTGATTCCTCATGATAATAAAATGTACTTATTTGTGAAATTTTCTTCAAAATATCTGTTCTATTTGTTTATGGAAACTTAGGATCTACCCCGTGGTTGGGAAGCTGATTGTGGCCAGCTCTCTATCAGCATTATGTTAATAAAAGTATTCAAAGAAAGATAACTAATTTAAAGAACTAAATTGATAAGACAGTGGGTATGTTATGAAGGATAAAGGCAGATTATTAACCTTCTGTGATGTTATATGTGGTGTTTTCTTTCTTTTCTAGAACATACCAAATCATTCGAAAAACCCTAAAACAAGCCTTTGCAGATTGCACAGTAATCCTCTCTGAACACAGGATAGAAGCCATGTTGGAATGTCAACGATTTTTGGTGAGTGTTCATAACTTGTTTAAGATCTCATTTTTCCTTTAATTCTTGATAACTATATCTCATGTGGGAGTTCCTGCGTATCACAACACAAGTGATTTGCACTTGTGTTGGAATGTACAAGTTCTTCCTTCTAATATGTGTCAAGCAGCCATCCAGCTTTACTTAAAATAGCTGCATACATTTCTCACGTTGATTTGAGCTATGAGGTGAGGTTGGAATCCAGTAAATAGCAACATGTCACTAAGTTACATGAATAAATTGAAACATCTGTATATTGAGTCCTTTATTTGGGGATCAACTCATAATAAGATCTAAGTCCTGATGCTTTTAAGGACTAAATCTCCCTTGGATGGGGTCCAGGACAGGCCTGGATTGCCTTGCAATATGATGTGTGGTTTTAATGCAATAGTTGAAAGACTGTTTCATTCTTCTCGTCATTATTTGGAGCTCAGGCAAGTGCCTCACCCGAACACCTTCTTATTGTGCTTTCAAAACTGTCACAGATTCTTTCAAGTCATGTTTACAAATTCCCTTGGGTTTAGTCACAAGGAAGTTCTGAGGATGATGTATCATGTCATTTCCATTAAGGCTTTTGAGGCTCTGGAGGTAAATACTTTTCTTACTGAAGGATTGTTATTACCATTATTATTACTAAACTTCAAGTGACAAATTAGGGGGCTGACCCATAACCTCTTGCCCTGCCATGGTCAGGTTTAGGAGATTGGGTAAAGCCCTTCTACCCTCTGGCCTTGTGTTTGCTCAACTTGAACTTGTGAGGGAGGCATTTTAAACATCCTGACCAATTTTTATTGTTAAGCTTCAAGTCCCCTGTTGAAGAGGCTCAACTCTTTGTTATGCTATGGACTTAACATTCATTTTTCATTTTTTAGTTTTTTTTTTTAACGTTTATTTATTTTTGAGAGAGAGAGAGTGCAAGCGGGAGAGGGTCAGAGAGAGAGATGGAGACACAGAATCTGAAGCAGGCTCCAGGCTCCAAGCTGTCAGCACACAGCCTGATGTGGGGCTGGAACTCACTAATGGTGAGAGCACGACCTGAGCTGAAGTCGGACACTTAACCGACTAAACCACCCAGGCACCCCAACATACATTTTAAGGTCATATATGAGGATCTATCAAAGGTCATCCTGGCTTAGCAAGCAATGTTAGTTCCTTTCAAGTTCTCTGAAGAATCACGTTGCTCAGGACTATACTAATTAAAAAACAGGGGCGCCTGAGTGGCTCAGTTGGTTAAGCATCCGACTTCGGCTCAGGTCATGATCTCACGGTTTGTGGGTTCGGGCCCCATGTCAGGCTCTGTGCTGACAGCTAGCTCAGAGCCTGTTTCAGATTCTGTGTCTCCCTCTCTCTCTGACCCTCCCCTTCTCATGCTGTCTCTCTCTCAGAAATAAATAAAACATTTTAAAAAATAAAATAAAATAAAAATAAAAATAAAAAGCAAAAATCTTCCAGCTGCTCAGTAGAAAATTATAGCTAATTTTCCAAAGGGATAAGTTCTATAAAGCAGGAGGACTCAGCAGTGAAAGGAGACATCTCTGACTGTTCAGACTGCCAGCCTGTGGACACTGTTTCCTTTGTGGTTTTTTTCTTCCTCTAAGCCTCTGCCAGTTTCTGTCCTTGCTCTGGTCCACCCTGCCTTCTGTCCAAGATCTCACTAACACCACTTCCGTAGGTCATAGAGGAGAACAAGGTGCGCCAGTATGATTCCATCCAGAGGCTGCTGAGTGAGAAGAGCCTCTTCCGCCAGGCCATCAGCCCCTCAGACCGGCTCAGGTTCTTCCCCACCCGGAACTCGAGCAGGCACAAGTCTCGATCCAAAATCGCTGCTCTGAAGGAGGAGACGGAAGAAGAAGTGCATGAAACAAGGCTCTAGAGAGCAGTGCAAATATTTGCATAGGATGTTCGCCTATGAAATTGGAGGAGAAAACAGTTTCTGCCTAAAAAAACTAGGATGAGTAATGTTTATCATTAAAAGGAAAAACTTTGATAAGAGGAGTTAAGGACAGTCAGATGGGTCTGGATGAGTGGCTTCCTGGCAGTGGGCAAATTGTGTGAAAGGTACTCCAAATCCTTGAAGATTTACCACGTGTGTTTGCAAGCCAGATCTTCCTGAAAACTTTTTCCCCTTGTTGGTAATTGGAAAGGTGACTATCAACGTCAGCCTGCCTCATCGTTCAACTTACTGTTTAGTGAGACTTGCTAATTTGTATTATTGGAGAACTGTAATCACACTACTTAGAGATATGATTAAGTAATGGTAACTGGAAACTTTAGTGGCTTATATAAGTTTATATCCCTTTTCCTGTACTCTCTCCAAGATATTTGAGAACATTATATCGTCTGTTAAGTATTCAGACTGTCCTGTTTCCAAGAAAGTGTTAGAATACCCCAAGAGTCACACATCAGCTTGTCAAAATACATACCGTGTACATCTAGGTATCAGGAGAGAGAACTTCCCCATCTGGGAAAACTGTGAATACCACTGATCGCTCTACCAAAAGTCCAAATAATTCGATTTTAGTACATCCCTTATCTAGGAAGAGGGCTGTTACAGTCCCGTGTATTAGGATAATTCCCTTGATACAGAAGTTGATACAACTTTTCCCTGCTTCCAGAAAGTAACAAGCTCATAAGACCTCTGAACAGAGGATGGCTGGAAAAAATGCTTTAAAGCAAATTGGTTCAGGAAAACCCTTCTCACCCCAGAAGCTCTGGGAGGAGAGGGTGTAGGCAGATAGGCTGTCAGCGCTGTGGGTAGATACACATGAAATCCGAAGATGTGGGTATATATAGGGTTATGTTGTATAGTTTCAGGCTAGCTACACACACTTCCTACTGTATTGACTGACTGGTGCAGATAATGGGAGATACATGAAAGAGTCAATCAATTCGTTTTATATGCTTCTGTTTTATAATTTTGTGATGCAAATAAAATTTTCTCTAGGAAATATTTATTTTGATAATATTTCAAACTCATATAAATGCCTGTATTTTAAAATGATTATATGAATTATATTTGTATTAAAAGAATTTTATATTTGAAATGTTGACTTTTTATGGCACTAGTTATTTTTTATGATACATTATGTTAAAACTGAAGGGGGAAAAAACTTGGGGGATATTGACTAGGGGCTCTGAATTACCTTGATGGTGTAGAGAGAGTCATTAGGGCTCACAGAGATTTGCACAACTGTATGATTCCCTCCCAGCACACACATTCCCTCGTAGATGCTGTTCTAAAGAAAATGGTACCAGAAAATCTGACCGCTCCTATCAAGGACACATGTCTTCCCAACTCCATACTAACTGTCAAGATTGCATTCTATTTATTACTGTAAGAAAATTTCATGTGCCAATAAAATCTGTATATTTGTGTGAAACTTCGCTGTTTTCAGATGTGTTCACAAATCATGTCTCACTGATCTCTTCAGTCTCTAAGTATCATGGAACACAACACATGAATCATTTCTTTAAATACAGATTCTTGAGGATCCCATGTGAGTTAAGATACTCTAAAAAATTATTTCTTTTTTAAAACTGTGGTGAAATATACATAACCTAAACTTGATCTTCTTTAAGAGTATAATTCAGTGCCCTTAAATAACATTCACATTGTTGTATAGTTATGTCACCATCTATCCACAGAACATGTTTCATCTTGCAAAACTGAAACTCTGTAGCCATTAAACAAAATCCTCCTATTCTTCCCTTGTCCTAGCGCCAGACAACCACCATTCCACCTTCTGTCTCTGTGAGTGTGACTACCCTAAGTACCTGGTATGAGTAGAATCATATGCTATTTGCTCTTTTGTGACTGGCTTATTTTACTTATCATAATGTCTTCAAGGCTCATCATATTGTAGCAGATGTCAGTTTTCTTACTTTCTAAAGATGAGTAATATTCCATTGTATTTATAAACCACATTTTGTTTATTCATTTATCAACTTAGTCAACCTTTTGACTATGTTGAATAATACTTTAATGAACATGTGTGTACAAATATCTTTTTGTGTCCCTGCTTTCATGAGTTAGGTACTTTTGAGGTTATTTTTGGTTTAAAGTTGAGGCTATTTAATATAGAAAAAGAGGTATATTCAACAAAGGTCCATTTATTTATTTGAAAGCTTTTTCAAATAGTGGTAGCTATCTGATAGCTCTTGATGAGCAAATCTCATCAAGGAAAATAGTATTTCAAGGATTTTTTTAATGTTTAGTTATTTTGAGAGAAAAAGAGTGGGGGAGTGGAGAGAGAGAGAGAGAGAGAGAGAGAGAGAGAAAGGAGAGAGAAAATCCCAAGCAGGCTTCGCACTGTTAGTGCAGAGTCTGAGATGAGATCATGACCTAAGCAGAAATAGTTAGATGCTTAACCTTTTTAGCTACCAGGTGCCCCCAAGGGAAATAATATTTCTTTTTTTTAAGAAATTTTTTAATGTTTATTTACACTTTAGAGAGAGAGAGAGAGAGAACAAGTGGGGAGGGCCAGGGAGAGACAGAGACACAGAATCCAAAGCAGGCTCCAGGCTCCAAGCTGTCAGCACAGAGCCCAACATGGGGCTTCAACTCATGAACCATGAGATCATGACCTGAGCCAAAGTCAGACATTCAACCTACTGAGCCACCCAGGCACCCCTAGGAAATAGTATTTCTATATTAGAAGCTGAGTGGCTTTTCTTTGTTTAAATCTCAGGTTTCAGTTGATGAGGCTTCTCTGGTACTCCTTTCATCCTGGAAGAATTTCTTCATAAAAGATGCAGGTACCAGCATATGGTAGATAGGAAGTAGACCCCTACTAAGTCCTCCAACCTTGTCTGTTCTTATTTGGAGAGATTTGTTTTAATTTTTTTTAATGTTTTATTTATTTCTGAGAGAGAGAGAGAGAGATACAGTGTGAGCAGGGGAGGGTCAGAGAGAGAGGGAGACATAGAATCTGAAACAGGCTCCAGGCTCTGAGCTGGCTGTCAGCACAGAGCCCGATGCGGGGCTCGAACCCACAAACCGTGAGATCATGACCTGAGCTGAAGTTGGATGCTTAACCATCTGAGCCACCCAGGTGCCCCTCAAGAGGTTTGTTTTTCCATGTGACCCGAAGAAGACAGTCTCAGAGCATGCTCTATTCTAATCATTCTAGTTGCTCTTTTTTTTTAATTAATAAACCTTATTTTGTAGGGAAGTTTTTAGTTTACAGCAAAATTGATCAGAACCCCCTGCACCCCCATGCATACAGAGTACCCCACTGTCAACATTCCACACCAGTGTGGTACATTTTTACAATCAGTGTATCACTATCACCCAAACTCCATGATTTACATTAAGTTTCACTCTTGGAGAACCCTCATTTATCTGTTCCTTCCCCCGACTCCCAGGTGACAACTGATCTTTTCACTGTTTCCATAGTTTTGCCTTTTCTAGAATGCCACATAGTTGTAATTATACATTAAGTAGCCTTTTCAGGTTGGCTACTTTTACTTAGTAATACACATTTAAATTTCCTCTTTAAGACATGAAAGCCATGTCTTTTCATGGCTTGATATCTCGTTTTAGTGCAGAATAATATTCCATTATCTGGATGTACCAGTTCATTTATCTATTTACCTACTGAAGAACATCTTGGTTGCCTCCAAGTTTTGTCAATATGAATAAAGCTGCTGTAAACATCCTTGTACAGATTTTTGTGTGGACAGAAGTTTTCAACTCCTTTGGGTAAATGCTAGGGATCTTATGGTAAGAGTTATGTTTAGTTTTGTAAGAAATCATCAAATTGTCTTCCAAAGTTTCCACCAGCAATGTAGGAGAGTTCCTATTTCTCTGCAACCTCCCCAGCACTTTGGATTGTCAGTGTTTGGGAACGTGACCATTCTAGTATGGATGTGGAGTGGTATCTCATTTTTGCTTTAATTTGCTTTTCTCTGATGATATCTGCTGTTCAATGTCTTTTAGTATGCTAATTTTCCATTTGTATATCTTCTTTGGTGAATGTCTGTCCAGGTCTTCTGTGCATTTTTTAATTGGTTTGTTTTCTTATTGATGAGCTTGCAGAGTTCTTTGTATATTTTGGATAACCGTCTTTTTTCAGATGTGTCTTTTGCAAATATTTACTCCTAGTCTCTAGCTTGTCTTTTTATTTTCTTGACATTGTCTTTTGCAGAGCAGAGGTTTTCAATTTAAATGAAGTCCACCTTATCAGTTTTTCTTTCACAGATTGTACTTTTGGTGTTTTATCTAAAAAGTCATCTATATACCCAAGGTTCTCTAGGTTTTTTACTATGTTATCTTCAAGTTTTATGGATCTGCATTTTACATTTAGGTCTGTGATCCATTTTGAGATAATTTTAGTGAAGAGTGTAAGGTCTGTGTCTAGATTCATTTTTGACATGAAGATGTCCAGGTGTTCTTGCACCATTTATTGAAAAAAAAAAAACCCTCTTTTCTCCATTGTATTGCCTTTCCTCATTGTCACGGGTAAGTTGATGATATTTATGTAGGTCTAGTTCTGGGCTCTCTATTCTGTTCCCATCAAATTATTTGTATATTCTTTTGCCAATACTATACTGTTGATTACTGTTGCCTTATAGAATATCTTGAAGTTGAATAGTGCCAGTTCTTGGACTTTATTCTTCTCCTTTATTATTTAGTTGGGTATTCTGGGTCTTTATTTTCTCCATATAAAATCTAGAATCAGTTTGTTAATATCCACAAAATAACTTGCTGGGATATTTATTGGGATTATGTTAAAACTATAAATCAAGTTCAGAAGAAACACATCTTGACAATATGGAGTCTTCCTATCCATGAATATGGATCTCCTCACATTTAGTTCTTTTTAGATTTAGTTCATCAAATTTTCATCAAAGTTTATTATAGTTTCCTCATATATAGATCTTATGTATATTTTGGTAGATTTATAGCTATTTCATTTTTGAAGGGGTGCTAATGTAACTGGCATTGTGTTTTTAATTCTAATCCCACTTGTTTATTGCTCAAAATGGGAAAGTGATTGATTTTTGGATATTAACCTTGTATCCTACATCCTTGCTATAATCACTTAAAAGTTTCAAGAAGGTTTTTTTTTTTCAATTCTTTAAAATCTTCTACATATGTGATCATGTCATCTGTGAACAAAGACAGTTTTATTTCTTCCTTTCCAATCTGTAAACCTTTTATTTCCTTTTCTTGTCTTGTTCCATAGCTAGGACTTCCAGTAGGATGCTGAAAGCAGTACAAAGGAGGAAATCTTTGACTTGTTCTTGATGGAAAGGCTAAGTTTTTCACATTTAAGTATGTTAGCTATAGAGTTTTTGTAGATGTTCTTTATCAAGTTGCAGATGTTCTCCTCTATTCCTACATTGCTAAGGGTTTTTGTCAGAAATTGGTGTTGGATTTTGTCAAATGCTTTTTCTTTTTAAAGTTTATTTACTTATTTTTAGTAATCTCTACACCCAATGTGGAGCTGGAACTCACAACCTCGAGATCAAGAGTCACATACTCTTCAAAATGAGCTAGGCAGGTGCCCCTCAAATGCTTTTTCTGCATCTATTGACGTAATGTAATTTTTTTCGTATTTGGCCTATAATTGTAGCAGATTACAAAAAATAAATTAATGGATTTTCAAATGCTGAACCAGCCTTGTGTACCTAGGATTAGTCCCACTTAGTCATGGTGTATAATTCTTTTATACATTATTGGAGTAGATTTGCTACTATTTTGTTGAGCATTTTGCCTCTATGTTCATGAGAGATAGTGACCTATAATTTTCTTTGTTTAAGTATTAAGGTAATGCTGGTTTCAAAGAATGACTTAGAAGTTATCCCCTCTACTTTTATCTCCTGAAAGAAATTGTAGAGAATTGGTAGAATTTCTTCCTCAAGTGTTTGGTAGAATTTATCATGAAATCATCTGAGCCTGGTGT